AAAAAAAAAAAAAAAAAAAATAAATAGATCCTTTGGAGGCGCCGGGCATCGATCCCGGTACCTCTCGCATGCTAAGCGAGCGCTCTACCATCTGAGCTACGCCCCCTTCAATCTTGCTTAATTCACATACTATTAGAATGTAACAATATGATCTAATTATTGAAAAAAATTTAGAAATAAAATTTTAGAGGTACCGGACACGTCGATCCCAGTATTTGTTCGCATTCTAAGTGAGTGTTTATTTGAGTTACACCTCCTTTGATTTTATTAATTTTTTTATATTATGTTAGAATATCAAAGTGCTCCACTTTTAATAAGCATTAAAAATAAAGTCTGGAAATGCTAAGGCATCGATCTCATATTTAAAGTGTATGTACTATTCTATGAATTATATTTCCTTTTGATTTATTTCCTTTATCATTTTGCAATATAAGTACGATTTACTTTTGATAAAAAAAAAAAAAAAAAAAAAAAAAAATATATATATATACATATATATGAAATCCTGGAGACGCCGGGTATCGATCCCGGTACCTCTCGCATGCAAAGCGAGCGCTCTACCGTTTGAGCTACGTCCCCCTTTGAATTATGTCCTTTATTCACTCATATTATGGAACAATATATTTTATAAATAGTTAATAAAATATTTTTTTATAAATACATAATTTTATTTTCAAATGAAAAAGATTATTAAATTAAAATAAATATTTGTCTGACTAGTACTATGCAACTGATATGTCACGCGGTGGAGCACGCAGAGAGGGCTGGGGTAGTGCAGAAGCTACAGAGATGGTTTTGAACAATTTATTTTACATAACTGCCAAGGTACCATATATAAAATGTAACGTAATTACTGATAACAGCATAACAAAAGAAATTTTATAATATAGTTTTCGGATGAACATCCTAAAGAGACGGAGGAACTTTGGGCAACTTTATGTGGTTGTTGGCCTAACAATTTAAAAGTAATTATTCGTTATTTAATTATCGTCTCAGGAATGGCGCCACAAGAACTTCTTCCATATGTATGTCATTTTTTAAATCAGGAAATTCATTGCTTTTATCCCAGTTATTAAATTATTAACTCTATATTTCAGGCGAAGCGCGTTGTCTTGTATTTAGCAAGGGCTCGACCAGATCGTTTAGTTGATGAGATGATGACTGAATTGCAAACAGTCGAAACATTGAATTGTTTAATCGAAAGAACTGAAACACCACCTTTCTATAGATTGACTAGTATGAGAAAAGCTTCTTCTCACAGCGATGCTCCAGTTGTTGATCCTGGAAATCCTCCGCGTGATTTGGGTGTTGAAAAGGGTACCATACATACCAAAAGACATTCAGGCGAAGATCCTGTTAAAACCGGGTGAGATTTATATTAAAGATGTATTTTTCTAATGGCTTGTTTAATTCATGAATGTTCTGTATTATAGTTCGAAATCGGATACTGCATTACGGGCACTCGCTGGATTTCAAACCCCAAGGGCGGAAAAAACAAGGACTGCGAGCGGTCCGCCAGTTCTTCCGGATGATTTGTCCACTCCTACAACAGAAGCCGAGGTTCATTAACTTCTTTATCGATTTTATATTCCGATCCAATCTACGATTTTCTTTTACTTGTGTTTCATATTTGATTTCAGTTGACTACAGACGAATCTTGTTACGGCACACGGAACGGATCCGTAGGAGTAAATGGCAAAATTTCATGCAGTGGAGAAAAGTTCGATATTCCACAGCCACATCCTTTACCAATGCCTGAGTACGGTGGATATTTTGCTCCTTTGACGGAGTACTTACCAGATAGTTCACAGCCTATAAGTGGATTCCATAGGTAATAAATATTACATATAGTTATACCTAATTTGTATGTTAGAGTGGTTTTTATAGATAGAGATTTTTATTTAAAAAGAAAAATCATCTTATAGAATACTCAAAACATCTCTGTTCATATTGAATGATATGATTATAAATTTCAGATGCAACATTGCCGTTATGTTGCTGACTGACGTTGTTGTCGATGGCATACAACTTGACTGGGCTATCCATGTTCCTTTAATGTTGCATATAGTTTTCCTTGGCTTGGACCATTCAAGACCTCTTGTAAGGGATCATTGTCGTTGTCTTTTATTAAATCTGTTGGTTGTTCTCGGGGATCATCGAGATCATCTCGGCGTAGCACGGGTACTATTAGCATCAAAAACTGAACAATTGGGCTTAGGTCTCTCTACTCCTGCTTTACCAATACTCGAGCACAACTTCACTGAGGTTGATCCAGAATTTGACAGTTATCTGTACGGCCCACCTCCAGCACCACCTCCTACAACGCCACCCCCGTCATCATCACCGCCACCACCGTCTTCTTCTCCTCCTCCTCCACCTCCTCCTCCACCACCACCACCTCCACCACCCCCGCCACCCGAATCCTCCATATTCAATGCAACACCTCCACCGCCACCACCTCCACCTCCTCCACCACCGTTTCCATCTTCTAATAATGGAACACCTATTCATTCGCCTATTCCTAACTCAACATCTACTCCTCCATTATCGATGAATCACATGAATCAATCAGTTATGGACAACTATAACAAAGATTATTCGAATTCTCATGCATATGGTGAGGAGTTAATATTTTCTACAACTCTATATATTATTGATGATATAAGAAACTAATACGATAATATTGATTTCATAGAATCATCAACATGCAACAATTGGCCTCCAACATCAAATTCAGCGAATACAGTACCACCTGTTATTGTCACACCAGAAGATGCAAATAACTGGGTTGGTCCACAACCAGGTCCGAATATGCCTATCCAAGATGTAATTAAATCTTTGATCAATTTTTTGGCTTCTCGGTATGTTTATAAAAAGTCATATTTATGAGAATATTTCTATAAAATTTAAAGCTTTTTTTTTGTAGTATAAATCAACCATTATGGAACTATGAAGACATGACTGCCAAAGTATGGTGGGTTCGCAGTGCTGAACAATTAACAGTATTATTGCGACATGTATTAAGAGTTTTTAGAGATTCCTTACCCCACGCTCTGGTTAGTCAACGTTGGGCGCAAACTGCATTACAATTAGGCCTATCTTGTTCATCTAGACATTATGCAGGAAGATCTCTTCAAGTATTTAGAGCATTACGAGTTCCTATTACATCTCGAATGTTATCTGATATTTTGTCTAGATTAGTAGAAACAGTTGCCGAGCAAGGAGAAGATATGCAGGTGCACGATGTGTCTTCTTTTTTTATAAATATAAACATTTATGAATATTTTTATAATAATTTTAATTTGTTTGTTTGTAATAGGGGTATGTGACTGAATTATTATTAACACTTGAAGCAGCTGTCGATTCGCTAGAATCCGATTTCCGACCTTTAGATTTTATGAAGGAAATATTCAAATCTACTCCAAATCTAAATAATAAAGATCCAGCTTCGGGTGGATTAATTGGAGGAAAACGAAGTCCAGGAGGAGGTAATGGATATCCAACAGGTCCATATATGTTCTCTCACTTAAATCAAGGTGGTCATACAAGAAGTACTAGTTACTCAGTCAGTTACTGCATGAAAAAATCAAGTGGCGGTAACTCAGTAGCAAGTGAAATAAAAGGTTTGTGGCATTTCAAGCCACAACTGGTCACTTTTGACCCATAGCTGAATTTTTACTATACTTGCTTTGCACCTAACTTTTTGGTACAGGATGTTATCTAATAATGTTTATAATATGGGGAAGAGAAAAGTTTGTTTAAAAAATGTAAAATTTTATAAACATATTTTTTATTTATGTCGACTGCGTACATACAACGTTATTGTATTTTATTGCATGTTCTTTGCATATAAATCGTAAACATTTGGCACATTTGGTTTATTATCATTGTTTATACATATATAACATCAAGTTCTGAGTCAACTGTGACCCGATGTCGGCTACGTGAGAGTTAATAACTAGTTTGTTGATAAATTATAATATAATTAATGTTTTTTTTATAGAATTAGATAACAGATGTAATAAATATCCCAATTCTAATCTTTCGCGATCAAGATCAGCTCAATCTTTAAAATTATTGGGTGATTCAGCAACACAAGATGATAAAATGACTATTTTGGCGCAACTATTTTGGTTATCAGTGTCTTTACTTGAATCAGACTATGAGCATGAATTTCTTTTGGCATTGAGACTACTTAGTCGCGTACTTCATAGATTGCCTTTAGATCGACCAGATGCTAGAGATAAAGTTGAAAAATTACAACAACAACTAAGATGGAATTCGTTCCCTGGTGTACATGCATTATTATTAAAAGGATGTACTAGTCCCAATACATATGAACCCGTCGTAACATTATTATCTCAGTTTACTCCATTATTGGATTTGCCAGTTGTCGATCCTACTCAAAGTCTCGCATTTCCGATGAATGTTGTATCACTACTCCCCTATATGCTTTTAAATTATGAAGATGCTAATGAATTGTGTATTAGAAGTGCAGAAAATATTGCACAAGTAAGTATTGCTTTATATCATAATGAATTCATATACATATACTTCTATTTATAAGTAGGATTGCAATATATTTTCATTTATAGGTGAGTGCCGAAAAAGGAAAGAAATTAGAAAACTTGGGTACTGTCATGACGTTATACAGTCGACGTACTTTTAGTAAAGAAAGTTTTCAGTGGACTAAATGTGTTGTTAAATATTTATATGATACATATGCTCATCTGAGTTTTAATATGCTTGCTTTCCTAGTTGAAGTATTAGAGAAAGGTCCAGGAAGTGTGGCATTACCTGTGCTCAGTATTATACACTGTATGTTACATTATGTTGATTTAGCTTCGCAAGCAGCGCAACCAATCAACACTGAACTTCTGAGAGTGATTTCAAAATATGTTGAGGTATGATTGAAAATCCATTTCAAACAGGGTAATGAAATAACATTCTTATATAATATATCTTATGTATTCTTATTACATGTAATTGATTTATAATGATTATAATTTGTAATAATTTAATGCTAGGGTCCTCATTGGAAAGAAGCTCTTAAAATATTGAAGCTAGTAGTAACAAGATCGTCTACATTAGTAGCACCACCTACGTCAGTGCATGGATCATCTTGGGAATCTTCAATAGCATCTCCTCATCCAAGTTTCACTGATACCGAGATGTTCACAAAAAAAGAATTACCTGGTAAAATGTTACTCTTTAACATATAAATAATACTTTGCATGGATGTGAATGCTAAAAATTAAGCTTTATTTTTCCTCTTACAATGCGGAACACGCTTACTGCATGGATTGCTTATCTGATGATGTTCAGGTTGCGACAAAAATAATAATAATAATAATAATAAATTATAAATTGCGAAATATAATTACTATTTTTTTAATTAAAATTAAATTCTATTAATATCATATACATAGCTTGCTTTAAATGGTCCTAAATTTATTCTGTTCTTCTATTTCTTAATTTCTACTTTATACTTTATTTGATACCTTAAACACTATCTATCTTTTTCCAACTTTCAAATATATTTTTTTTAGAAAAGGTAAAAAGTATTTGTTAAATTATATTATTTAGTGTCGTATTAATTTTTTTTAACTTTAATCTTAAGTTCTTTACTATGAAATTTAATTAATACGTTGTTCGTAAATAGGGAGGACTATGGATTTCACGTTTGATTTATCACAAACACCGGTAATCGGTAGACGATGGTTAATACGTCAAGGCGTCGAAGAAAAATCACTCAGCTCTCCTCGATGTTCATTATCTCTTTCACCAGCTGACAGTAATGCGGTTTCTGGTTGGAAAAGACCATGGATGTCACAGGTTAGATAGAAATTATTAAATAATATGAAATAGATGAAAGCAGTATTTGATAAAATTTATATTTCAGGGTCGCGTTAGAGAATGTTTGGTAAATCTTCTAACAACATGCGGTCAACGAGTTGGATTACCAAAGAGTCCATCTGTAAGTTTATATTGGATAGAAAATTGTTTTTTTAAAAAAAAAAAACTTGTTTGTGTTATATATTTCTTTCCAATAGTTTTCCATTAAAAATCATTTATTTCAACTGACTCTGGTTATGTACCCCTTTTTAGGATGAACACATTAGTTCAATGACATTATATAGCAAGGTAACAGGTTTTTTTAAATGCAGTTTGCACTCGTACAAACAGATTAAGAAAATATTTATTTATTTTCATATGTGATGTCCTATCAATACAACTATATTCACGCTTTAATATGCTTCGTGCAAATATGTAACTTGCACAAAATTTTATAAATGAAAAAAAGTTGTTCTAATATTTGTAGGGTTATCTATGTACAGTAGATTTTTGTGTAGCATGTTAATTGTATGAAAAATGGCGTATCAGGATATAACGTACAATGTACATGTGCATCATTGCAGTTATGGCTATATCAGTTGAAATGAGATATATGAAAAATTCGGTATTCAACACGTACATGCACAATAATCGCTAAAATTCACAGCATTGTCACATAGTAAAGACAAAAATTAAAATATATCTGATAAAGGCTATAATGTTCCTTTTTATTAACTAATGGTAAATATTTGTAATACAGGTGATATTCAGTCAAAGTTCGGATCTAATGGAAAGACAATCATCTATGGCTTCTTCAACAGAAGAAGTTTCTGGTGCAAATAATGATTTAAGTGGAGGATCTAGAAGAGACGACGAACAATTTGGCGTATTTAAAGACTTCGATTTTCTTGAATATGAAAGTGAAAGCGTTGAGGTGAGTATTTATTTTAAATGTAAATACATTTATCTATATATTGCTGACGTAAAGATTAAAAAAAATGTCATTTATGTATTATAGGGTGAAAGTACCGATAATTTCAATTGGGGAGTAAGACGCCGTCCTCTTAGCGAAGGAGAAGAAAGAGAACCAAGTCTAAGACAATTTGAAGAAAGTTTAAGTGAGAAGACTCAGTCATCTAGTAAACACACCAGTCGAGTAAATAAATAAAGATTTTTTTTCAATAATTTAAATAAACTAATAAGAACAATTGAATATGTAATATCAAAATTATAGCGTGGCGTTGCGGAAGAATCGTCAGATGATGAAGCTGGTTCAGAATCACCATTAGATGAAGTACCTGGCGGATCTGGAACAGGACAGGAAGTTAATAATATCCCTGGAATGTTCCCACCATCTTCCTTATCTTTAATACCTAGTCGTACACGTCATGACTCTTCAACAAGGTCTGACACATCGTAAGTTTCTTATTAAACAAAAAAAAAATTGCGTTCTATTGATGTTTGTTCATGTTTCATGTACAGTGGCTCTAGCGCAGGAGATTTAGGAGATGTAACACCTTGTAATGCATCACCAAATTTATCAGCGTTGATGCCTTTTAGACAAGTTGCAAGAGATGACGCAGAAGAAATTTGGCGGCAACAGATCCAAAATTTAATCACTCAGTCTCTTTACAATACTTTAGATTTTTTCCAGTTATTGAGCAGAATACTACGGGTAACCATATTATTTATTTAAGTTATATCTTAATACCGATTATAATATCTTACTTATTATCAGGATGTAAGCAGTAAATCGGTTACCCTTACAAGAGAAGCTAGTGCCTTATTGTGTAACGGCAGTCCTGCTTCCACTCAATTAGGCTATCATTTATCTAGTCATGCAGAATTACTTAGTTCAAAAGCTGAACCACCTTTAATTTGGTTCTCGATTGCTATTTTCGCAAATCAAAGATTAAATGAATCATTGCGATTTGGAATGTTAGAAATTCAAGAACATCTTGAAACATTTCTTGATAAAAAAGATCATGCTACTGAAGTAAGTAATTATTTATTAAATATATTATTAAATATATTATTACATATAATTATTACTAATATATCTTCGACAGTGTTTGGAAGCAGCCAAAGCAGCTGCAAAACTCCAAGCATTAGGTGGCAGTCACACAACAGAGGCAGGTCTTGAAGAGATACTGTTAGACCTAGGCAGAGCACTCTATAAACTTCATCTTCAATTATTATTATTAATCGAAGCTTCAAATAAGATGCTAGCAACTCTCATAAGCGCTGCAAGAAACGTACAGATTCCGCTTCAAGACATATCCGCAGAAATTGCGAATATGAAAATTGCTTTGAGTAGAGCACTGGAAGAAAGTACAGAGAGTGAAAGAGGAACACCGACTCCAACGCCTAGTCCTAGTCCTTTGCCCGGCACTGGTGCCGTGGAAGAAGTTGCTCGTGTTGCAGAACTACTTAGAAACGCACGATGGTGTCCTGCTCTTGAAGCTGTAAGACTGCATAGAGCTCAATGGCCAGGAGATCCTTTTCATGATGATGATGATGTAACGACTGCTGTTAATATGTATTGCAAATACTTAGGACAAGATAGATCTGGTAATATATTGAATCATGCATTAAATTATCTTAAAATAGATGTGTCATTTAAAATTGTCGAATATTTTTCAGATATTTTTGTGGTTACACGAAAGGACGATGAAATGTCAGAAATATTTAGTAGACTAATGGAAAGTTTATTTCAAGTTTTAGCGGCTGTTACAGGCTTAGAAGCTTCAACAAAAGCAGTACGAGGTCAACATGATCATCCTAATAATACGAAAAATGACTGTTAATTTATAAATTTTAATGTTATATTATATTGTAGACAGTTATTTGTCTAAATTCAAGTCTTCATATAATTTAATTATACCGTGCATTTTATTCATATATATTGTATACAACCATAGACGTATGTATGTATGTATATCGCGAAATAATCGTCATAAATGTTAGAAAAAAACACGCACGAGCGGAAGCACGAAATTGTCGATTTTGTCGTTCCTTTTTTTAACACAAACATAATGATGTGTATAAGTTCGGCGAAATAAATTTTTGAAAACTCGAAAAAAATATCTCGTTCTACAATTTTCATATCCATAAATATGCTTTTACATAAACATTCAGTATATAGTATTCGTCGTGAATCAGATGATCAGTTGTATCAATGTCATCGTACTATAACAGACTCCATCAAAAGATTCGTCAATCATATAATGCTAAATGCATTCAAAATAATTGATAACTTGGTTTGTAAAAAAAAATTCTTTCCATTTTATAATGTTGAAATTTTCAAATATAAAATTTAACAGGGTGAACTTACTTTTGATGATGTAACTGGTATGACTACCCGAAAATTAGGTTTCTTCGGTAACAAATGGCCTGTCTGTGGTTGCTTTAATGCACGAAACGGATTAGAAATTGTGATAAATGAAATGGAATCATGGAATGCATTATCAGTAAGATTTTGATAGTTCGAAGTTTTTATTTATAATAAATCTTTAGATGAATATTTTTATTCAGTGTTCCTGTAGGCTTTGAAAGATTGGATGTTCCATGTTAATTTTATGGGCCTTCGACGTAAAAATTGTGTTGAAATTTATATGTATCAAGTTCTTTGGAGTGTACCTACCCCAGCATATCCTGAACCTCAAGTCACAGTCAGTGTACACTTCTATATAGCAACAAGTCACATTTATCCATCTCATTTTCCCGTCGATGTGAGTCATTTTTACTACGTATAACAATCAAATTTAATGTTATACATTTACTTGTCCTTAGGTTTCATACGTTTTCGAAGGACATCAGTTTACACATACTTTAAATATGATTTTCAGACCTAAATGGCTTTATGATATATTAGATATGAAAACAATGATGTTCAAGACTTTCAATTTTTAATATACATGAATTATTTTTCACTATATGATCGCTATATATTATTCTTAAAGTTCAATTGATTTTGGTTTAAATATATTTTGCAATTACAATTTAATTTACATTTGAACACGTAAAGCGTTTAGCAAAGATAAACAATAACGAGTTTAAGAGGCATATGCAAAGTATCGTAAAAGTAAGGGTGTCATATTCGTCCAAAATGAGTACAGGCCTGGTGCACACTGGTGGTGGCAGACGTCGGTTTACATCAATTGGTCAAGCAGTAAGAGCAGGTGACAACCGCAAAGGAAAATACAACTACAGCAGTTGTTTTCAGCTTGACTTACACCGCTTGCAACTACTGATCAACATTAATTTTATTATTATAATATAATGTTTAGAATTTTCAACTTCCACCAACGTCGATCTATTCTTATCAATTCTCAGATGTCCTTCACCATTTTTTATATTATCCTTTTACAAAAAAGATATCAGACTCTCCCACAGAGTACATATATGCAGAGCACTTGTCGCTTCGAAAGAATCTATTTAAATTTCCATCGAGTACACCAAGGAGGTGTAACCGTGCGTTGGTCTTTCGGACGGTTTCTTTCTGTTTTTTTTTTTTTTTTTTTTTTTTTTAACATATCATTCGGTTTCGGTAATACCACGACAAATAGAAGATAATTTCAAAACCTGAGAGGGATTTCATCGGACTCGCGTACACATGGTGGTCGGATGACACTGGGAGGTCTGTGTTTCTCGGCAGGAGCCTGGAATATCGACAACCACGTGTCGAGCATATCTGACTTAATTCACGCGCCGAGTATCACTAAATTAAATAATATTTATCAGCATTCACATTCTAGAAATATTTACATTTTATATGTCATACTTATATTATATTTCTTCCATTGATGTCTAATAATAATCATTTTTAATAGCACCATAATAGTATGTATATTAAGAAATTAATCAACTTAAAAATTATTAATTTGTAGAGCTTTACCATTGTTTTTTCTTGTTGCTATAACATGACTCAAACCACTAGCAAAGAGGATCGTATTCTTTTGACCCAGCAGGTTGCAGGTCAGAAAAGATTTGGCTTCCGAAACCCAAGTGGAAACAGGCCAACAAGTGTTGCGGTTCTTTACAGTGATCGTGTTACTAATGCATTTGCAGCTTCATTAGGACTATTATCTTCTTGCCATCCAACCAAAAGAAACGAAACAACAAAACATTCATTTTTCATTGATACACGTAATTATCCTTTTTATACAAAAGCCATACAACATTGCTATAAAAGAAGAAAGAAAAAAGAGTGCAAGAAAAAAAGAAGGAAATATGCGCTTTCGTAAACAATCAAATATGTGGGTCAAAAATTAAATAACAATGCCAAGACCAACCACTGTTACCTATTTATACAGAAAGAGTTTTTTGTCCGGGCCATGTCCTAAACATCACATCCGCCGAGGTGCTTCCTCCGCGGGCCGTGTTTTACCGCGATCGTGGCTAACTGATGAAGGAAACGCAGCAGGAAAGACGAAGAAAGAACGCGTAAGGAACCACCGCCTCACTTTCAGCAGCTTCAAACATCCGCTGCACCAGCCGCCGCCAGATCTCGTTTACCTCTCCTCCGTTTCTTCTTTAACTCCTTCTCAAAGAGACACACGCGTTTCTTCTTTCTCCTTCTCCCTTTCTCTTTCATCTCTGCCTTCTGATTTCAAGGGCTGAAGAAACCAGATAGTAACAAGATTAAAGAATATCTTTGAATAATTAAGTACGTTGAAAAACATGAATATTCTCTTCTTTTAATGAACAAAATTAAATCTTTTTCAATCCAGTCTCCAATGAAGCGAACAAAATGATCTCGAAATTATTTGTTTAGTATCCAGCAATGTTACTAATATATCGCATGACATTGGTTACAGCACACATCTGGAACGAACTGGGTGGACATGTCGACCTCCTTCGAAGAGAGGAGAAACAAGAAGGGGGATGTCCGTCGCGCGTGAACGGTAAGACACGTACCCACGTGCAAGGCTACGTTTTGAATCACCAGCTGCCGATTCGCTGACGACTCCAGGAACCCTGGAGACGTACTAAAATTAGCAACCAGCACCCCCGCCTAGCCCTTACATGGCCACGTTACGAGCACGCGCGCGGCTGCTTTCAGAGGAAGAAAAAAGATGGAGAAAACAATAATAATCATGGTCCGAACAGTACGAGTCGATCATGTGCGAAATGTCACAGCTGGTGTAGTTGGGTGACCAATTCATTCGTACGGGTAAGATTGACGTTAAATGTGACACCTATAAGAAATAGTTAATGTGTATAAAATTATGATACAAGTAGTTTGATTTTTGTTCCACTTTATAAACATAATGGCGATATATTGCTTTTACTGGAATATATTACGTTTTTCTTTTCTGATCATTCATAAAATTACAAATGAACAAAAATTATTTATTCACGAGCAACGTTCGTTGCTTTATGAAGTTTCAGTAATGGACGTTTGATCTTCTTTATCAAACAGGAAGTATCACACAGGATGGATGAAGAAACCACATGGCTCCTATATGAATGAACACTATAATGAACTTGTCCTACTTGATAGTACTTGTGATAGGACAATTATTATATACACAGCTAATAATTGTGATAAGATAATTACTTGTCTTAAATTCTAGTTAAAACTATTCCAATTATAGTTATTGCAAAGATAGTTAGTTTCATTATTGTTGATTTTCTTGCTTGCTTGTAACTTTTAAGTCTAATTATTTAACAATAGACGACTAGTTACCATTTTGATTATCATTTTTCTTTTACATTATTGTAGCAACAGGACAGAAGTGAAAGTGTATTTAGATATCTGGAAGTAATCAAATTGAAATTAGTTTAGAGTAACGGACCATCTATTCCTTTCGCGATCGATCTTCTGTAAAACAAGAATCCATGGAATCTGTTTCTATCGTGTAGACTTCAAGTTCATTGTCCTCGATATCTGGTAGGGCACAGAATCTCAAAACGAGAGATCCTTTTGGTCGTGGTACTGGAGCTCCATTTCAAGTACATCTGCGGCAAGCGGATGCAGCCTGCATTTTATGGTCGCCCAATGCAACCAATTCTCATTCGTGCACCCGTACTCACACCCTCCACCACTTTCAGCACGCGGTACAACGACTTCTATAATTAGATTTCCTTCCCTTTAGCTTAGATACCTTCGAGCATGATCTCCATTTGTCCTGTGAATCGCAGAAATCTACCACCTGCAAATTCTTGTCAAAAATACTACGATTAATATGGTCAATTTCTATCGGAGGGTTGAATATCTTTGAGATTAGCTGTTAATCATTGAATAGTACGATCTTACCGTTCAAAACTCGATCAATCTATTGATAGAAGTCATCTGAAATAATAAACACGTTAACTCGTTCGTCACGAGTAGTCATTTAACTTGTGTCGTATTTTGTATTCAAATGCTGACCATAATGTCGGTATTCCAATACCGATCTATGTGTTCAATGTGCTGACATTAAACGTTACAGGTTTTACGCCAACTATTTCGAACAGGTTGCGTTTGGATCTATTTTTCGATTGTTGGCATCGACTGGATTCACGGATCCACGCTTCTGATGACAAGTAGCCAGAAAAATAATTGAAACTACAACGATTAAATCGAGGCGCGATCTATAAATGCTGCATCACGTGCCAAGTATCCTCGTAATTATAAATGGTTAATCATTGGTAGTCAGTCAGGAGTTTGCAAAATGATCAAAGTTTCAACTTTGTGAATTTATGCTCATCCAAACTGCTAGATGCATCTAATTTATCTTCTTTCATTATTATTGAATTTTACTCACATTCTTCTTCGACCATTCTTCCCTTGTAGTTGACAGCATTTTCGTTGTTTAATTCTTCATATTTTCTTATATTAACAACATGTTATCTTTCTCTTCTATTGTACATTGTTGTATGTTTACAAACAAAATAAAAGTCATTTCTTTTACTAATGTCACAAGATGTCTTACATAAAGGTGTCATTAAACGCTCTTGGCACGGCCTCTCTTTTTCCTCGTTGGCAAATCCTACTTAATCCTTTAACATCATCGAACAATGATGACAAACCGATTCTAAAGATCAATTTCATATAAAATATTGTAATCTTAAATAAATTCTCATAACAGTAACAAAGATTTCTCAAAAAAGTTTGAAATCAGTATTCCCAAATCAAAAAAAGAAATTTGGTCGGCGCTTCTTTCCAAGCGTTGTCAAGTTTGTAATCGTCATCGAAGTATTATTGAATGATTGCTCATATAATCATAAATGAAATCTTTTTATACAGATGTAAGAATAAAAAAATATAATATTCTTGAAAGAATACTTATATCTAAATTTTAAAGGTGAACAAAATGATTTTAACATCAATATCGATAATAACGTTTCTTATTTATAAAATTGCATTGTAATTGCATTAGATGAAAAAAATAGATTAAACATTTTGTATTACAAACCTTGTAGACTTCATGCGTTGTACCAGCTTGGCAACCCGATACGATCCGTCCCTGATCTGCATGCAAATACGAGCTATACTTAGAGATGTCCGATTTCCCTCGTTACGACAACAGATCACATTTTCGTCTTCATCGACCTTAATCATTCTTCGTGGAATTTTCAAACAATAATGTTTTCAAGTAACGTAAATTGCGAAAGATACTTCTCACTTCGTTATTAAATAATAATTATACAAGAAAATTATATGTCTCTCTTTTCTGTAGTTTCTGTGTAATAAAAAGTTTACTTCCCACGCTATACATTAATCGTTGTAGAAACTGCTAGAGAATCATGATAAAGTAATTATACGAGTATCTCCTTCCGCCTGGATTCTTCAATGGGCCACTGGAAAGAGGAAATCTGAATGAACTTAGTTACATGTATAAGGCAAGCAGATGCAAAACGTCACTTGAAACATATATATTTTTTTTTTATGACATCAGGAACAACCTGGCTCACAAATTGATCGTTAAAATTATATATATTTTATGTAAATATGTCTTTTTATAAAGCTTAAATTTAACTTAAGTAACTAATATTATAATCTGTTTATAGATTAAATAATATTTAAATAATTACCACCAGCCTCGACATCAAGAACATCATAACGTCCATGACTATTTTGCATAGTAATAGCAAACATTTCTCGACTAATTTCCAAATTATGCTATGTTAAATTATGTGACAGAACACTTTCATCTCATACACATACGTAAACTCAAGATAATCACATATAACAGATGAATGCATGCGCGTGTAAAGGGAAGCTGCGGTAGAAAAAGAAGCGTGGAAGAAGGGGAAGATAGGAAAGAGAGAGACGGAAGAAGGGCGCGTGTCGGTCGCGTGCCCGTTGCCACTGGTGACTCGGTGTCTGCGACCCTCCTGCCCTTTAACCCCTCCTACAGCTTTTCCATGAACGAACGTTTGAGTGAGGACAACATATTCGCTAGATCTTTAAACACACCTACCAAAATTTTCATAATTTTCATGTAATATGAATATAGATATCGATTATAATTATTTTCTTTTCTTTCATTTCTTCTTCAGATCGTCTCTTCTTTAATTATCATGTTGAATATATGACATATTATATGTAATTTTATTAATTTATCCTGAAGTAATTCCTCTTTGCAATTTCGATTATAAATGTATAGAGGACTCCATGAATCTGGCAAACTGTTCAGGACTACGACCTCAGCCCCTTCATCGTCTAGTCCACTTCCTCTTTTTCCGTCCCCTTCATTTTTTTTCATTTTTTTCATCTCCTCCTTAGAACCGTCTGGACGATGGCACTGAAAGAAAAAAAATCAACTAGTGAAGATTAGCGTGGCACGTGGTCCGTACTGCGAGCAATGGAAGAAACCACCTACTGCAAGAGGAGATGTATCCATCAGAAAACAGACACTTCAGTCGAACAATCATTGAATGGCACCGGGCGGTCCGTTAACGGTTCATTTTTCTTTTTTCATCCCAGCGCTTAATGGAGAAGACGGAAGTCATCAACATTCTTCAGATTTCAAACAGACAATAATCTACATGATCATTAAGTATATTTCTATGAGGAATGGATTAATAAACGGAAGTTTCTATCTAATATCATTTGTACTAATGTTGATGTTCATTCATCAACATCAGTTAAGAATATCGATCGCAAAAGAAGTTTTTTTTTTAAAATTCAAATCTTGATTATTTTCTTTCATAAATTTTCAGATGTTCTTATTTCTATGATCATTTAAAGATTTTTATATATTAGTATATAAAATCAGCTGATCACTCGATAAATTCCTGTTCCGGTTATGAATTTAAACGCAGCGTATATATAATATAAATGCAGCATATTGGTTCTTTTGTTGCAAAAAAAAAATCACATGAACATATCTAAATCCAGTAACAAGAGATTTAAAAAAAAAAGACATTCCGATTGCTCTTGCTCTTATACGCTTGTCTCTAGATCGCAGACAATCTGGCCGAGTGTAGAATTTCGTCGTGAAATTTGTGAATGAGCCCTCGTGACTCGCGCATTTTGAATGGAAACCGACGGGCCGGTTTTTACGAGAGCAGCACTGTGCTCTGGCACAGGATGCGGGTGCGGACGAAGGGGGTGTATGCTCATTTTTATCCTTTTTAATTCTTTTTTCTTGCCGCTGGAAGAGATAAGAGGGGGAGGGGGAGGAAGGAAGAGAGAATACTGCCAGCTGATCGCCTCTGCCTTTCAAAAGGTTTTGCAAAATGTGAGCACGTGCTCGTGTGTGTGACCCTTTTTAGATTCGCATGCCTGCTTACCACCTGCGAAACCAGCTAGTTTTACAGTCTGATCGGTATGCAATTAATTTCTGAATTATACTTACATCTTTTTTATAAATTTTATTATTCCGTATTTTTTTTCATGAACCTAATTATTAGATTATTATTTTAGCATGGTGCGCATATATAATAATATACTAATTGACTTTGATACTAATTGATTTTAATAAAATTGGTAAGACTCCTGTAAGAATTCATTCTTGATAGAAGGCAAATGACAAAAAATGTGACGATGAATCGTAAGAAGAACGATGTAAAGAAAGGGAACAAATCGGAAGGGTGAGAGGGGTGAAACAGGCGGCTGTTCGCTGTCTCCGGAAGGAACTGTCTCTCTTTATACCCAAAGACATTCCTCCAAACATGAACCAACGTGCTTCGTATGTGTTCTTCCCTTGTAGAAGCACTTCCACGGACATCCCCACTCTGTGTTAATTTCTTGCACCCGAAACTAAATTAAGGGTCGTTCCGGTCGACATTTCTTGACCTTCTAATATTCTCCTTTTTCTTCTTCTATCTTTATTTCGTGGCTCGGGATTCACGGAATGATGGTTTTCCTTTGATTGGAATGTTCAATACAAGTTTAATAAATTAATAACTTAGATTTTTATACACTGAAATTTTAAGAATTCATATAAGAGCAAATTTACATAGTATATACTTTACAAGTTTATGCATACAATGACTCACATACTGTAAATAGGAAATTGTCATTTAAAACTCGGTGTCATTGCACCCTAGGTCCTAGAGGACGTGTACGTTAGCTAGAAGAGAATACAGATGAAAGTTAGAAGTACACGTAGACGGCTGAAAATCTCGTCTGGCTCGTTGCCAAGATCTTCGAATCTTGTCATTTTCTTCATCCACATCTTCCATTCTCCAGCACGCACTTCTCTCTGTACCTTCGCTGGAGGCAATTAATTAAATAGTTCTTTATTTCTCATTTCTATTTTTTATTTCTCATTTCTATTTTTTATTTCTCATTTCTATTTTTCTATTTCCATTGTCTTTTGCTCTTTACAAAAATCTTTGCAAAGTAATTTGTTCTATACACAAATAAAATATTTTTTTTTATTAACTTTCAATTTTGCCAATTATTATCTCACTTCAAAATGAGAAATTTCAATTGTCAGTAATGGAAGATTTTAAAAACACTGGAAAAAGAGAAAAGTTAGAATAGTTGAACTAATAGAGTATAAAAAGAAAATAAATCGATAAATCGAGGAACGATAAAACGATAAAACAATAAAACTTCTGATAGTTCTATGTTTCTTTTATCACGATCTTCTATTACGGTCATCAGAATTAACGAAGATACGTCATCCTTTACGAATTCTCGAATCGTGAATTTAGAATTCCGATCTATACGTTCTACCTTGTCTCGTGAGTGACCGTGGAATAGAAGAGAGGTGATTTACCCGAAGAACACGGCAGCTGCATCGAGCCACCGGCCTGAAAATAGCACGGCAACCCCATACCGAGGCCGAAGACCAAAGTCGAAGCCCTCTCCCTACGTCGGTATATACTTCAACTAAAAAGCCACCCACCTACGAGCCTTTTAAATAGCGATCGCGTACTTTTTCCTTTTTTTTTTTTTCTAGCAGAAAACTTCTTGCTAAATGACATAGACGTGGAAAGAGGGAGTGTACCGACGCTGATTTATAAGAAGAACCAGGCGTTTCCGGATACTTTTCGAGACGGTATCCGACCCACTGAAACATTTATTTTTTCCCGAATGATCGAAACGAAATAGGATTGTACTTAATGACTCTGTTTTCCTTATTGAGCAAAAAAGTCCCCTTCCTTAATTTCCGAGATACTTTTTTTCTCTTCGTTGGCACGAGTCTGGATAACCATTGAGGATAGTGTTTATCCATATCTTTTGAAATATAAATAGTCTGTAACTCCAATTTTTTGCTCTAATTCAGTCATTTAACTGAAAAAGACATATGACAATGTTCAATTGATACGATATATAATATATTTATAGTGCAGTGTATAACTTTAAAAATATGTATTTTATTTTTGTGAAAAATTTACTACGCACGTGTTTCACCACTACATCCACCCAGCTTCTCTCTTTACCTCATCACGGCTTACATATACTTCCTCCTCCGCACCTGGAGCTTCTCCAAGTGCGCCGAAAATACGCGTTTTACGCGATGCGTTCCATCAGAAACGCGTTCAGGCACCTGTAGGATGCGCCCCGTCCACTGGTTTATTAACATAGAAACCACGAGAGGAATTATACTTCATATACATTTGATGACACGTAGAAGTTTGGATACTGGCAATTCGTTGCCGAGAAAAGCTTGGCGAATTTTGTAGTTGCGTCAGTTGAGATACTCAACACTCGTGACTTTATTTTTAGATCCAACGTCGATACTACCGCGATTGCAATAGAATCGTCGAGACACCTGTTCTACGAATCATTTTAAAAATAATCAAGATATCAGTCAATGTCGAAATTTATTCAACCTAAAAAATTGAACGAAACACGAGAGACTAGAAAATACAAGAATAATATTATACATAATATACAACCTTATAATATACTTTATATTTTGTGTCTTATTGTCCGCCAATCAAATATATCAGTCTACAAAATTTAAATCTAAATCATTATCCTGTTGTCTCTAGATTTACGAGCATCCATAAATGCAGCTTACACTCAGCATCGTATCTTCCCAGCGAACAGAAGAAAAGCATCATGAAACATCGACGCGGGACGAAAGAAGGTGGCAAGCAAATAAGAAAACGGCTCTCGCAGTTTCATTGGTGGCTACAGGATAGAAGCAGGTTGGTGCGCTGGGTGGTTCTTCTGGATCGACGCCAGGCGTCCGCCGAATTTAGCACCGCGACGCTGACTAACTCGCGTGGCATTCATTCAATCGCCGACCAAAAAGCCCGCTGCTTGCATAGTCTCTCGCTGCATAGTCTTCGTTTGCATGAACGAATGCCGCTCGCATTGCACTCAGAAAACTTCACTTTCCATTTTTCCCTTCTCATTTTTAAACGCTTTGCAAGTCGTTTTAAATGCGACTCTATCACATATACATACTTTAATATCAAAAGGTATACAACAATCCTTTATCGTGGTTCATCACTTAATTACATCGATAAGAAACAAGGTAATTAATAAAACTTTTATCAGAAAAGTCATCCGTGATATTATTATACGATCGTGGAGAATATATAATCGATAAAGTGTGTCTGAAATAAACGTGCCATTTTTATTATTTTATTAATAACAAGCTGATGTTAATAACACATTGCAAAGGATAGCAAATGTATGATAGCCGCTACGACATAGAAATATAATGTTTATTTTCGAAAAATTCCATGGGATAAGTGTGGAAACTTTCAACGTAAGAAATTTTTAAGAATTGCAGCTGTTCTCTCATCATTTGCGGCGAAACTTTATAATATTTTTAATATCGTTACTGTGGTTTCCATCGTTTTCTCAAAATACTTGTAGCATCAAGTTCGAGGAAATTTCACTCATCTCGTAAGTAAAAAGACCGTGTGTCTCGATGAATCGTATCTCTACCATCTTTGCACTTTTTCCGTTTGTTCGTCATGATGGTCAAAAGATGCCGCATATTAAACGACACGCGTTTCTTTCCTTTTTTCCTTCCTCGGTTCAGTGGCAGTTAATGAACATTGGACGCGTGCCGTAGATCCCACAAAATCTGGCTTCGCACAAAAATAGAATGCTTATCCTTTCATTTGCCAACTAGTAAATATCGTTTAAATAATCTGTTTCCTGTCGTTCATTACATTCGTTTTTGCCGATACTTTGAATTAATGCTTTTAGATATCAAAAATTAGGACTCCAACATCCACACGATTTCATTCGACAACCTGAAAATGATGTAACATTGAAACGTTCAATTCGTGTTGTTAATTGAAATTAGATTTAAATCTTTCTCTGAACAGTGACAGTATATGATTTCGTGTATTAATTCATATCGCGTTTAATGGATCCTAAATTCTCTAATACCTACATTTTATATTACATGTTTGCACCTGTTGATATATATGCAGAAGTTTCATAACTTATCAAATTTTTTAAAGTGAATATAGTGATACGAACATGTTCCTGCGATCTTACTACTTCATCAATATTACATTAGAACAGAGTGTTCAGTGACCGCACGTGAGCTACAGGTCGACATTTTTTACAGATAAACGGATACATAGACCTCCAGCCTATCTTCCCCCACGTGTTTCGACCCACGTCGAAAGAAAAAATAAATCTTCATACACTTTCTTACGAACATGTAACAATTTAGTTGAAAGAAACTCGGTATAATTTTTTAGCTTGAAAACGTTTATTATATCTTACATTTCCACATCTATTTCAAAAGTTCAAAATTATATTATCAATTGTCAACAATCCATCCAAACAACAAAAATTGTTTTTAAAGCTTAAAATTAAAAAATAATCTTTTCTCTTAATGATAATTTATCCAATATTAAATGTCGAATGAAAATGTTAAAAAAAAAAGTATTCACATCACAAGCATTTTTTTTCGATAAATACATTTAAAAAAATGTGACTAAGGTAAACATTCTAGTTTTTTAATAAATTTAACGCATTCCTAGTCTTAGACTAGTATTTAAATGAGTACTTAAGCGAGTATAAATAAAATTTAAAAAAAAAGACAATAATGGGCAAGAATCATCATTAGTTTCAATGTAACAAGCTTTTAATAATTAATCTCTTGCACGTATACTCGTGCACAACATTGCCCCCGTCCACGCTCAAATCGAAAAAGCGACACGGATGTGCGGTGGTCGCACACTTCGCCACCACTCAAACAGAAGCAGCGGCGACACACGAGCCAGTCGGGCACCCTTCTGAGCGCGTGCAACGCGGTGCGCAGCAGCTGAAGAAGAAGAAGAAGACGATGACGAAGAGAAGATGGAGGGTGAGGGAGGCTACGCTGCTATATGTAGTCCCGAATCTTAGCCGGAGCAACTATTACGTTCGAAATCTTCGAGGCGGACGCACCCCTGTATTTAGCAACAGGTACAGGGTACACGATAGGCTACCGAAAACCGCGCGACACCGTCGAGGGTTCAACATTTGTTCACAATATCTTTGAACTTAAGTAATCCTTACAATTAGTGATCGTGTGTGACAGTGAAGTTAGATCAGACAGATCTAAGGTATGGTTTGTGTAATTGAGACAATCAAATAGAGAGAAGAAGACGAATTGCAATAAGAGAGAAAATGCCGAGGGCATTTCTAATCACTCACCGACGATACAACGGAGTCGAAGAAGAGTTCAATGGATCCGGAAGAGGTACGTCCTGTCTTCTCAAATATTCATCATTTGTCCCGTGCCAGAGGTTTTTTTCTTTTTTCATCTTGCTGTAGCTTCGTTTTAAAAATAAGTTCGCTGGTATCATTGTGTTCCTTTCGTCGATAAACATTCGCAAAGAGTCTGTAAAAATTGTTATTTTTTATTCATCTTCAGTTCGACTTTGTATAATTTTTCAATTTCTCAACTTTTCTCAATTTTTTGCCGTTTTATTTTCAATTTCATTCAAAAACTTTCCATCACCAGTAATTCGTCAAAATCTCAAAAATAGGTGCGTTAAACATGGTAAAAGTTCCATTAATGGCAATATTAACACCCCGGAAACGTAAATGTAGGCACTTGATCGGTGTAAGCGAAATTTCCGCACCGCTTACGTCGATCTCGTCAATCAAAGCTTTTGAGCAGAAGCCAAGAGAATTTGCTGGTCATTGCTTCATGATTAAGGTGGTACATCGTGTAGATTTAAGAATAGGAGACGTTAAGTGCGTCACGAAATTGACACGACTCATACCGTCGCGATGCCGTCAACCCTTCGAAAACTTTCATACAAAATACACATATATGTGTATATAGAAGTACGCAGAAAATACGAAGATTAAATAAAGAAAGAAAAATAGAGACAATCGGAAGACAGAGAGAGAAAAAGATAACTATTCTATTTCTGTTCTCTTCAAAGAGCAGACGGTATATTCGTAAAGGTGCTTCGTGTTTCACGAATTCAGAGTCATAAATATGGATCTCTTTGTTTATCACAATTTACGATTTAAATACGTAAAGTATAAATCAAATTCGTTATAAAAGTTAAAAATTAAATAAATTAAATAAATAATAAATCCTCTGTTCTTCTTCTTTAAACGGAATTTTCCTACAAGCTTCTGTTAATAGATGCGAAGTCGTGCCACCTGTTTCAAGCAAAGAGAATGATTTGTGATATACGAACTACCTAAAAATTATAAAAAAATGAGCCGGTAGGACATAATTTTCTTATTGCATAATAAGAATGCGGAAATATGACTAATTACAAAACAGCCGCAACGAAATCAAACTATCAATTGGAAGTTCTTTTAGTTCGATCACGAGATTTTCGTTGGACATCCGCCAAAACGCATTGAAATCGTAGGAATCTCCGCTAACGATGATAAATGTTTCCACGTGCAAAATTTTGAACTTTCTTCAATTTTATTATCTGACACAATAATAAAATTTAAACTTAGGACATAATTATAAAAATATCTTGTAAGAGAGTAAAAGTGACCAATAATAAATATAACTTTTTTTTATTTGTCATAGATTTTAGTCCTGAAAGAGGCGTAAGATTGGCCGATTACAGCGGAAACCATCCAACTTCTGACGGTGCGAGTGAATGCGGTAGCGAGACATCATCAGAATGTCCCGAGGAATTATACAATCTCACGAAATTGGCAGAAGTGAGCTTAGCCGCAGCCGCTGGTACACTGATTCATCCCAATAACGTGATTTATCAGCAACCAGCTTCGCCAAGGTGTGCTCAATTTTCGGACAAATGCGGCAGAATGGTAACACCACGAACAAAACAGCAAGAATTACAATTTCGAGATCATCCAGGAACCCTCGAAGATGAGCAGACGCTTGGTGAAAGAACGAGGATCTTCTTCGAGAGAATCGAGTGCGAACGTGAGATTTTGCAGAATTGTTCGGAAAGAAATACAGTTTTAGGCATCCACGTTCCGCCTCATTCTCATCACTTGCAAGAGGAACATCGAAGTCTCGAAGCTGAGAATTCACTTGACAAAGCTGAATTAGAATCAATTCAATCAACATCCTCGACAATCTCCCAAAACCGAAGAACGACCTCAACTTCAACGGAGGCGTCGAAATCCGAAGATAATGAGGATCACGAATGTCCTGATTGTGGAAAGAAGTACTCCACATCCTCGAATCTAGCCAGACATCGACAAACGCATAGATCTCTCGGAGACAAGAAAGCTAGAAGATGTCCACATTGCGATAAAGTCTATGTTAGTATGCCTGCATTCAGTATGCATGTTAGAACGCATAACCAGGGATGCAAGTGCCATTATTGCGGCAAGTGTTTCTCGAGACCATGGCTTCTGCAGGGACACATACGTACTCATACAGGTGAGAATTTGTATAAAAATATCATCATATCTCGCTGATAGAGTGAATTGTGTGTTACATAACCACTAAGATACACAAATATATCGATTATATCAATATTACATCAATATATATCAAATACATAATTACCTGTTATTATGTAATTCGATGACGTTTCTCTTTCCTACACTAGGTGAGAAACCATTTAAATGTACGATCTGCAATAAAGCGTTTGCTGACAAATCAAATTTACGCGCCCACATACAAACGCACTCAAACACCAAGCCATATGTGTGCGGTCGCTGCGGTAAAGCATTTGCTTTGAAGTCATATCTCTACAAACATGAAGAATCATCGTGTATGAGGGCACATCATCGATCATCTACGGATAAAATCGATGGGAATGATCAAAAAGTAACATTATCATCAACAAAATCCTGCTCACCACCATCTTCTTTAAGTAGAATACAAACAACGTCGTGCGTCACGGCATCACCTACTAGCGTTATCGTTCCTCGCCTAAGTCTCAATCGCGACCAAAAGAATTCATCTTCGGCATTTTCCGCGATTATTAGACATACCAGAGTTCCGGACGAATCCACAGTATCTCCGCCATCGAAACGTTTCTTCAGAGAGAAAACTCCAAGCGAAGAACGTGAGAGGAAAACATCTGATAATACAACGAAAAATCCAGAGTGTGTGTCCAGAATGGTTATTAGAACTTCCGTCATATCACCTAATCCAGAACATCTCAGTCGCTTCAACAACGATAGCCAAAACTCTTCTAGCAGCTATGAGTTTTCCGATCCTACGAGATCTTCCACATTTTCCCAGCCGACAACGATGACACTTAATTTAGCTATCGCATAAAATAATCGCACATCGAAGAAAAGAAGAACATTTGTCCAAAACACTAAAACAAAACTACGGCAAGTATTTCTATCAAGTAACGATAGCAATATTATTGTACATGAGTATGCCAAAGATTATTTTATATTCACTGACGGTTAATCTCTGGACTCGAATGTGTATCACAAGCATAAAGAAACTACCATTCAAATCAAAAAATATGAATAATTAAATAATCGTTTCGTAGAGATACAAAGACGTAATTACTTGCTAGTAACTAGTGTCATTCCTTAATGTCAATATTAAGATAAGTTCGTTAAGTTTTGACGGAAAACATTTGAAATTTTATGCAATGCAAATACCCATTTTTATATAGTAAATATATATAGAATCAATTTTGGAACAAGTTCAACGAACATAAGAAATATTATAGAGATTACTTACGTCACAAATATTGTTCCATGCACCTTCCTAATTAGGGACCATCTAGCACATAGACATATTAACGATAAAATTATAAATTATCAATTTCTAGTGTTGTGCCTTAAATACTATTAATACGTAGTTACAATTTTCTAAAGACATATCAAGCATTGTATTAAGAAACAAAAGTAATTTATTAATTTAAAGTGAATTGCAGTGCCTATATACATATTTACCTTAGTATTAATTGCATCGATGCTCTTCTAAATTTTCCATGCTCTTCTCTAGGCAGCTAAAAATTTCTTTTGATTTAATAAGATTTAAAACTAACAGTATATTAAAGTGTAGATTGCTAATGAATATCAATCGAATTATAGATACTCATATAATTATGAAATACTAAAAAAATAAATAAAAAGAAAAAAGATAGAACTATTTTTATTCCGAGTAATTTTTGTATAAGAGATCACGTTTTTGAGAATTTGTAACTTTACAGTGCCTTGTTTAAAATTTATGTTATGCGTTCATATTGAACCATATATTTAATAAGGGTAATCAAATTTGAATTATAATTATATTCGAAGTGTATAAAGTAAGTGGAAAACGGCAAATAATGTGGACAAATGTAATTTTCCTTCACATTAATCGCGTTTTTAAATACGAACGCGTATCGTCTGTGATTCGAGTTTTCGTACGGAACTAGCGGCCATATGCAATCTAATGGCTCTCTGGTGTCGTAATATGTAATTAAGAACTTTTCTTTGTTTTCGATGCGTTATCGATCGTCGGTAACGATATGAGTGTAAACTAGTCTAATCCGCTTTGCTATTCTAAGCGCAATCCGTTGAATTTTCCTTAATACAAACATAAAATAGTTCACACGTATCTCTCATTACTATTTATCAATTTTTCTGTATAATTAGTTTGATGATGATTTAATAGAAACAAAATTACTTCTCTAGTCTGAAATAGAAACTTACATAGCAATGGTTGCACAAAAAATTGAATAGCGGCGGTTTTTATAATAAAGATTTCACGTAATTTATCCATTTTTTCACAGTAAACTCATATATTAGAACATGTACTTGTAGTAACCGGAAATCAAAAAGTACATGTATCCTAGTCATCAATTTATTATGATCAAACGTAGAACATTAAATTACATCCAAAATGTAATACATATTACGTTGTATAATCATATAAAATCACATATTGTAAATAGCATTCCTTACATTATATGTTAATAGTTAGATTATCACAATAATTAATGCAGTTGTAATGTATTGTTGTTTTACGTATATATGTAATGTACCATTTATACATTGGAGTGCCTAAGCAAACATTTTACCAACTTTTTTACAAATTGTGCAAGTTTTGTTTATTAAAATAAAAAAAATATATGTATAGCTACATATACCTGTAAGTCTGTATAATATTTTTACAAAACCTTTTCTAGTTTGCTTACATTTTAACTTATTAATTTTTATTTTCCATTTATAGTTTTCTTATTTCTTTATAACGGAAAAAAAGAAAAATAAAAGGAGCATTTTTAAGGAGCATTTTTAAAGAAAATATTAATAATAAAATATTGTTTCACAGAGCTTGCAAATTGGATAGCTATGTAATACGTATTAATATAATTGTAGCGTACGAGTAACTTACATTAAGCACTCTATTCAAATTTACTTTCTTTTTACTCCAACTTTTTCTATTACTGATGAACTGTGCGATAGTTTAATAACGGTTCGAAGCAAAGCAACAACGACTTGCTGTATTTACTAAATAGATTGAAGTTCATAATTAGGGCAATGAAGGGGAACACATCTATCTTAGTCAGTCGATGATGGTAACATAAACTGACTTTAGGCGATATCGTGTACGATTAAAAAGATATTTGCGTCTTGGAAAGTAGAGAAACGAAATGGTATGGTAAAATAGATTGCTCTAATCTAAGAGTAATATTGCATAAATAGGAATATCATCTAAATGCTACGTGCAATAATAGCAAAATAATAGCAAAAAGAGGGTATTATCTTAAGATGACATTAGCGAATAAATCAAAAGTATTAAAAATAAAAGAAATAATGCATATATTATCATAATAATTGTTAATACATATTCTTTTATAATAATATAAATAATTCTTTTTAATGAAAATTTGGAGTAACTAATTGATAACAATTAATGAAATAGATTTTCGAGTAAATAGATATTTAAAAAATACAAATTAGATACAATTGTCTAAATTCTTATTTATCTTTTATTGCCAATATTTCTTCTTACGATTTAAACATTATCCAACTATATTTATTATTATTATAAAGACATAAAAATGCTTCTAAAAACATTCCGGTAAGAAGATCCGGACATCATAAGACGACATAAGATAACGTAATGCTTATAAGACTGCAGACATATTCCATATCACGATTTATATATCCATGCTTCTTAGAATTTCCCCTATCAAACTGTTCCCCCTCCTTCGCTTTAATCCAAATCCTTGTGTTTCTTGATCTCTTTGCGAGATCGAGCATAAGTAAGCCGAAGAAGAAGAACAGAAAAGAGGTACTACATATTCGGTGGGAATCGACGAATGAATTTACTAGGACTACTGTCAAATAGAAGCTCGCAACGGAGGCCCCGAAGTAAACTGGAGCTATGCGACTGATCCTTGTCATCTTGATTTTCTTCTTGGGATCGGTACTCTCGAGGTACTATGTAAGTTATCACCTATTGTTCTTTAATTAAATTTTTTAATTTCTTACTTTTTAAATTATTTGCTTTTAATCAATTTACTTCAAAACATTCTTAAAAATATTTATAAAAGGAATAAATATATCTACATGCCTAATTATGTATATTTCTTCTCAAATTATTGACAAAACAATATATTGCAGTTTATCATGAAATATATCAACATTTAAATCAGATAATAAAAAAGATATATCATTTATTATATTGAATAATTCATAAATTTATTTGTGTATTTTTTTCAATTCAATTAAAACTCAATTTTTAATATAAATTATATACTAATATAGGTCCAGTTATTTGAGAAATTAAAGATTTGAAGATCAAAGTTCGCAAGATAAGTTGATAGGAAATTAACTCGACCTATTTCTAATTTTTTTATTCAATTAGTTTTATTTTTTTCTTTTTAATTTCTTTTTTTGTCCTTTTTTACAAAATATTATCAATTTTTACGTTACTAAAAAACGATTTAAATAAGATTTATTAAAAAATATTTTGAGAAAATTAATATATATGAAAATTATAACAACGTCCTGTGTATTTTTTTAATCTTACTAATTCGTTTATTAATACTTCTTTTTCTTTATTTATAGGAAAAAAAACGCTTTGACCGCTCTATCTACGATGATTTTGAAATACCAGAGTTTGGCAAATATTTAATAAGAAAGCAATGGACATTTACCGATCACGAAACGGTAAGGAATATTTTTATTCACTAAAATTACAAACGATATTTTCTAATTTTCATTTCTAGCATTTTAGAGCATATAAAGATAGAAAAAAAAATAATTGCTACATAGAGAAATTAGAAGACAATGCCACTACAAAAAAACATTCAGAAATTGAAATTGTACAACAAAAGCAAACATCAAAAATTCTTTGTACACCAAATGAATTGACAAAATTTGAGGTGACACCAGATAGATATGTTTGATTATCATCATTAAATTATTTGTTTAGCACAAAAAATAATTTACTTTCTGTAGGCATGGCAAATTGCAGGAGGTAGAATTGTTGATTTCTGTAATGGACGGAAAATTATTTTACTACAAAAAACTATTCCAATAATCGACCAAACGACAGATCCTTTTTTCAATATTCTTCCTTTCGACGAAAATGCTATTGTCACAAGAAGAGTAGCTGATATACTTCTAACACCATTAATAAGTCGAGCTAAGAGACAAATCGCGCTTGAAGAAAGGCAAAAACTTAATAAAAACTTTAAACAAGATCGTTTGCGTCGTCAAGTACAACTATCTCCAGGAAAATTTCAAGGACAAACACAGTCTCAATATTTAAGTATTGGTAATAGTGAACAAAAAGAAGGCAAAGCCGAAGCTGAAGCTACTCAACAATCTTCTCGTGCAGTTGTTAGTGCGTATTTAAGAAAACATTGTACAATACAATATATATTAATAATTAATTATATGATACTATATATAAATACTATATATAAATACTATATATAAATATACTATATATAAATTATATTATTGTATGAAATTATAATACATTTTTAGCTGGAACCTATGGTATGGGACAAGCACAAAGTATGTCACTGGGTAGTACCGGATGTGAAGATTGTTCAAAATATACTGGTGAAAATGTTCCAGATAAATACATTCAATTACCAGGTATTGTAAATGCTGCTAGAAAAGAAAACAAAACATAATGAATAAAACAGATAAACTATATCAACAATTTTTCAGCAGTTAAACAACCAAGTGATACTATTAGATATCCTGGTGTGATTACTTCTGGAATAGATACAACTTATCCTAGCAGAATACCTGCTAGCACAGCTCGAGATATGTCTAATCTGGGTACTGTACCTAGTATTACTGGTGGTAAAATTCCTGGAAGTATATTTGATACCACAACTGATGGTAGAGTACATCCAGTAATACATCCTGGTGGTATACCTAGTATTGGAACTGGTGGAACTGCATCTTATTCTGCAGGTATACCAGGTACTAAGACAAGTATAGCTTATCCTGCAGTTATACCTGGAAGTACACTTGGAGGTGCAAGAGGTGATGATATAGCTTACCCTGGAGATATACCTAGTACTAGAACAAGTGGTGATGCAATTTACCCTGGAGGTGTACCTGCTGTGACTAGTAGTGGTACAGTTTACCCTGGAAGTGGTACTACAACTGGTGCAGTTACTAATGGTGCAATTTACCCTGAAAGAATATCAGGTGGTGGTATAACTTACCCTGGAAGTATACCTGGTACAACAACAGGTGGTGTATCTTACCCTACAGGTGTATCTGGTACTACAATTGGTAGTGGTACACCTCTTTATCCTGGAAGCATACCTGGTGCTACAACTGGTAGTGTAGTTTACCCTGCAGGTGTACCTAGTATTGCAACTGGTACAGTTTACCCTGAAAGTGTACCTGGTATTACAACAGCTGGTGGTGTAGCTTATCCTGGAAGTATACATAGAATTACAACAACTGGTAGTGTAGCTTACCCTGGAAGTGTACCTAGTACTATAACGGATGGTGGTGTAGCTTATCCTGCAGGTGTATCTGGTATTGCAACTGGTAGTGGTACAGTTTACACTGGAAGTGTTCCTGGAACTATAATTGGTAGTGGTGTAGCGTACCCAGGACATGTACCTATAACTGGTGGTGGTATAGTTTACCCTGCAGGCACTGTAACTAATGGTGCAAGTCAACCAAAAAGTGTACCTGGTACTACAACTGGTGATAGTGTTAGTTATCCTCCAGGGTTACCTGGAGGTGCTGTAGTTTATCCTAGTAGAGTTGGTATTGTACCAGATACAAGAGAATTTGTTTCTGATAAAATTATAACAAATTCAAAAGCAATTGTAGATGCTAAAGTGTATGCCAATGGGCAAATTCCTACACAATTTTTTGGTGAGAGAACTTATCCTACTAGCACAAGTGATATATATCATAATATTGGTACACCAGGAACTTTTCCCATAGATAATACAGGTGTTTATTACGGTGGTATTTCACCACCAGCAAATCAATTAAGGGAAACTATACATTATCCAAAAAAAATAATACCAAATAAAGAAACTGATAGAGTTATTATACCTGGACCATCTATCAGAGTTCCAACTGGTGATATTACTAGAAGCAATCTTGATGGCACAAGAGACGTTTTTCAAGGAAGTACATTGCAAGGACAATATCCTGACACTTCAAGATGGCAAGAAAAAGGGACTTCAGATCTTACAGGACAAATAATTGGACAATACCCAACACAAGCTAAACAATATCCTGGTATACACTATCCATCCAATATAGGAGCTACATCAAATATTGGAGAAGGTCCTCAATATTATCAACAATCAGGAAGCCTTTTGCCTACAGAAAGTGATAACTCTAATTCTCAAGCATCTAGTTCTGTAAAACAAACAGATTCAGGCACGCAGGCAAGTGCATCAGCTCAAGGAAAATTTGGACAAGGTACAGCTCACTCTCAGATAACAGGTAGTTATACCGGTTCTGGATCATTCTCAGCCCAAGCTGGTAGTACTGATACTAATAAAAGTGCACAAACAGAAATTAATGGTGGTAAAGAAAGTACAGTAAGCAATGCTCAAGGAATTGGTGGTTATGGAAAAAGTCAAGCACAAGTTCAATTAAACTCAGAATTAGGTGCTACAACAACAGGTGCACAAAGCAGTGGTTGGAATCATGGTACAAATTCTCAAGTACAAGCAAGCTCAAAAGGTGGAATGGCAGACGCTCAAGCAAATGGCGAGGGAAATACTTCGAGTCAAGCTCAAATTGGTTTTCAACCATATCTTAAGACAGATGAAAAAGTTGAAAAATATTTGAAACCATTCCACGGTGGTGGAACAGCGTCTGCTCAAAGTGGAACGTATACTGGACAGTCCCAATCTCAACTTGAAGGATCTTTCCAATATGGAATTACTTACACTGGTGCTGCACAAGCGGGGTCAGGATCTGGTGCAGCAGCTTCTAGAAAACCATTCAATTTCAATCTTACAGATACTGAGCTGTTTAAATCATTTAAACCATCTAATGGAGCACAAATTGTACAAAAGAATAATAGTGAAGGAACAAATACATCTTCGAATGCAGGTAATGAATATAATCAATCTCAACAAGGTTTACAAACGAGTTCTAGTTCCCAAAGAAGAATTTTTACCAAACCAACAGATTCGCAAAACATGACTAATAAATCAGATCAATCTATTGAAAAGTCTCAATTGGATGATACAGCATATGATTATGAAGAAGAATATAATAGCGAAGATTATGATATATCATCATTTCAAACTTCAATAAATCCGAAGATTTCAAAAATTTATGCTGCAGAACAAAATAATAGTAACTATCAATCGCAAACATTACATGTTGCAACTGGAAGTCAATATGATACTCATGTGAAACAAGATACAAATGCACCACAAGTTGGTGATGTCCTGCAACCTAGGCAATCATTATCAAGATATACTATACCACCTGGTTTTCGGAGTAGAGTAATATCAGTAGCTGGTGATGAAACTATTGCTCATGGTGATGGAAAGTCTCAATCTCAAACAGTTTCTCTAGTTCCAAAGGAACCAAATATGACTAATGAAAACAAATCACCCATCTCAGAAATTAGATCTCTTAAAACTAGTCATGAAAGATTAATAAAAAGTCAAGTTGCATCTGAAGAAAAACAAAAAAATAATTTTCCACAAATCCAAAATCGAACTTCAAAAGAATATGCAAAATCTATTTCTAATACACCAATGAAACCAAGTTATTATACAGTAACAAACAGTGTTACTGGTAAACTGAATGGTAGAAATTCACCAAGAAAATATGAACATCGCTATTACACCAAAAGTTCAACTTGTGGATATTTTACATTCTCTTGTAATATTGTATATGGTTCTAATGGTAGAACAAAAATTTGTAAACCAAAAATGCCGACATATTCCGACGGTACTCCTATAAAATGTTAGATGGTGATATTAACTTTGGAACCTTTTTTTATTGTTTAAAAAGACTTAGTTTTATTCATAGATTATTTTATACTTTACTAATATTAGACATATTTTTTTATTATAATTTGGATTATTTTTGTTTATCTTTGTATTAACGACCATTCATACATCTTATGAATGTAATCATATTTCTACTGTTTCTTTTACATATACATACTACATATCATTTTTATTGAGGTACTATTTGATGCTACATTAAATTTTAATATCTATCTTCTTTTATGAATAAAATATATATTAAACAAATAAAAGATTTCCAATTTCTCTTCGCCTTTAGATATGAATTACATCAATTAATAAATATATATGATTATGATGAATTTTTTAAATTTATTATAGTCAGATGTAAATTTAAATAATTTTTCTACTTAAAATTAATACATTAACTTTTCTATAATATAGATATAGATACATTCATGATTTTTTAGACCTTATTTTACAAACAACGCAAAAATTATAAATATAAATATCAGGTATCATACAGAAAAGCTCTCATTATCTAACTTTACCAGTCTTTAGATAAGTGGTAAAATTTGAAATTACATATATGATTATGTTATATACATTATTTATATACATATAATAAAAATATTTGAAACATATTGGAATGTGAATTTTTATAAATAAAAAATATTTAACATATTCACAAAAATTTTCATAATAGAAAACATTACAAAACATATACAGTTATGTACACAATTATATATAAAATTAATAAAAAAAGCAAACTACAATACAAACTTAAAAAAATAGCGTAATTTAAGTGATAACTGAAATAGGCAATGATATTCCATTATTTAATCTCAATTATTAAATAAATTAGTACTACTTATACATTTATCAGAATTTTTACAATTGAAAAATATTGCTACATTGACTGGTGTATACATTATGAAAAATGTAGGAAAAACTCTTTTCCACATTCCAAGTTTTATCATTCGAATTAATTTGAATTAATTTAACACTATTATTAAGATGAGTGAATACTAGGCTTGCTGTGGTTCATATTCTGAAATAATATTTATAAAATTTAATTAAATTTATTAAAGTGATACGAAAATCAATATACTAAACTTACCATTTGTTAACTTGTCATCATTGACTATACATAATTTTTCTTCGAGATTTTCTCCTATTCCCACGTCTACAGGATAAGAATCGGTACTGATAACAAATTAATTGTCAATATGAGTTCTATAATTTAATTTAAAAAATATAGATATATAATATAATAATATTATTATTATAAATGTTGCTGCTATATTTACCTATTTCGAAAATGTTCCAGTTGTACATTAGCTGATTCTAATTGTTCTAAAAGATCTTCATTTGCTCGTTGCAATTTACGAACACTATTAGTTGCAGTATCTAGTTCATCTTGAACTGCAGCTAATTCTTTTTTCAATTCCTCTACTCTTGCTCTAACTCTCTTTACTTCTGCTTCATATTGTTCTGATCTTCTCATAGCATGTGAAAGTTCTGTTGTTTTTTCTTCTAAAGATTTTTTCAATAATGTCTAACAATTATTTAATTAAATTAGTATAATTATATACTAAATATATATTGTTTTCAAACTAAAATATTAATGCATGGTACAAACCACATTCCTAACTAGAAATTCTTGATGTAATTGTCTTGTATCACTATCTGATGTGGAAACTGGACGTGATCGTCGAGACTCTATCCTTTCTTGTAAATCATTTAATTCATTACGAAGTTGCTTATTTTCACGTTCTAAGGAAATTTTTTCTGTCTCCAAACGTTCTCGTTTTCCCCATTCGGCTGCATTTTCTGCTTGAAGTTTTTCTAACTAAAATCATATAATTATATATAGTTACAAACATATTAAAAGTTTTAAATACATTTTTATATTTATATTTATAAAATTTACTTCAGTTCTAAGTTCACATAGACGACGATTCATTCCTTCTCTACTTGAAGCTTCATCGACTATACCAGCTTGTACATCACTAAGCTCAAGTTGAAAACGATCTCTTAATTCAAGCAGTTCTCTTGTAACGTCGGCTTTACTTTCCTCTAATTCTTCATACTGTTTTCTTACTTGTATTATTTCTGTTTTTAATTTTTCCAGACCGCGATGTAAAGAATTTTTTTCTCTATTATTAAAAATTTTAATTAATTCAGTAAATTGAAGTTAAAAATATTAATAAATAATAATTTTGTATTCTTACTCTCTTTCTATAGAAATAGTTTTTGTAGCTTCATCCAATTTATGTTGGAGTAATATTATTTTTTGTGTATACGATTCATCTGTACATGTCTGCAGATTGTTTTCTGTGTTATCTTCTACAGAATTAGAATCTGCTAATCTCACAATATCTTTGTCTAATGAATTAAGAGGACTCTCCTTATATAATTCTACAGCATGTTTTGGCACAGCACCTTGTAACACATATTCTTCAATATCTCTATCTGGTAAAATATTATGACTTCCTAAGCAAATATTAGATTCATCAAGAGAAACTTTACAAGTAAGTAAATTTTTTTTAGAATTTACACTTTCAGTTTGTTCAACATTATTGTAGAACTTCAATAATTCATCTATACCTAATGTATTTCTTAATTGTGGATCTGATTCTAAAACTGTAAAAATTTGTTGATCAAATTGTCCAGCGTGTTTTAACAATATCATATGTATTTTTTCCATTTCTTTTTTTAATTGCTCATTCTGTAACTCAAGTTCTTGACATTCGTGTTTATAACTATTAGCATCTTTCACTGCTATTTCCAATTTTGCTCTAAGCATTTTTGCTTCTTCTCTTGCCATATTTCTTTCATTACGTACTTTACTCCATTTTTCTCGCCAGTTAGCAGTACAATCTGACCACCATCTCATTGTTTTTTCCATTTGAGCAGCTCTTGCTCTTGCTTCTTCGAGTTCTCTTTGTCGTAAAGCCTAAAAATGTTATAAGTGGAAAGTTTATTGAATATTATCTTATTTGAATATTATCTTAATTGAATATTATCTTATTGTTAAAACAAATGTAACTAATTATTGTTATTACTTGTACTAAAATACTTTTACGTTTTCATAGTTATACAATTTATTTTTTATACAAAGTAACAAAAACAAATTATAATAATTCAGAGATAAAAGTAACAAATTTTAATTATTACCTCTTTAGTTTCCCATTCACTATCCCCATATCGTGATGAAGATGCATTAACATCGTGCTCTCTGATATATCGTCGAGAAGACGTTCCACTAGCTGTTGATTGTGCCATGGTAACCTAAACTGCTATTCTTTTTATGAACGGCTGTATTTTAAATCGTGTATATTGCTTTTCGAATTGAATCACTGCACATTTATAGACAATTCTCACATCTTATTTATACTTTAATTTACATCGTATTAGATGATACTAAATGATACAAGATACTAATAATCTAAATACAATTCTTGAATAATTTTGATCTTTATACGTCACATATATTCGTCTAAGCTGACATTTGTATTATACATAAACATATGTACACATGTGCACCTATATATGTTTTGTGAAAAAAAAATAGAATAAATAGATATATTCACATTTGGTTCAAATTGAATAAGAAATTGAAATTAAAATTGTAAAAAAAAAATAATATAAATTTCTTACATGCGACAAATAGAAAATATCCAAAAGTAACCTAAAATAAATATCTGTGTATGTACACAATATAATGAATGTAACATTGCTAAATTCATTGTAATACCGTAATGTGACAATATATGAACTGATCATTTTAGATTTAAGATTTACAAAATACAAAATTTTACATAAAACAAAAAATTTGATAAGATTAATTAAAAATGAAAAATATTTAGCAATGATTCTTTGTACATTATGAAGCAAATTATTAAATTATATATTTAAATTATTGAGAGATTTATTAAATTGTATAATATATTATAATTCTGCATTCATTTTTATAAAGATATCCCCATACAAGGTGATAAAACAACAATGAATACTGCAAAAAATAGTTGTGAGATTGGAAATGGTTTAGATGATCTTGGTATACCTGGACAAGGCTTTTTAAGAGATGCTTTAACAAGTTGTACAGATCCATTAAAAGCAATTGAAGAATTTCAACTAGAAAATGGTATTTTACTACCATCATTACGTCCAATGTTACCTTTACTTGATCTTCATGGAGTAAGAAGATTAGATTTCCATGCCTCAGTTCTTGAAGAATTAAGGGAAAAATTAGTAAAAAGAATCAATGAAATTGGAGCAGAAAGGGCAGATAAAAGTTCTACAGGTGACAAAAGACTGAAAGAATTATTATCTAAAAGTTTCCCAGCTGTAAGAGTTGCAGCACTAAGACCAATTGTAATGTGTATTCTAAGAAATACACCACACATAGAAGATAAATATTTACGAATACTTGTTAGAGAAAAGGAATTATATAATGATGCAGATACCGAAGTTAAGCGTCAAATTTGGAAAGATAATCAGAGTTTATTTGGAGATGAAGTTTCTCCATTATTTAGCCGATATATCATTGAGAAAGAACAAATACTATTTGATCATCGAAACTTAAATAGTCTTTTTTTTATGCCTTCTCCCAAGGTATATTAATCTTATAAATACATAAATATGTGTATATGTATAAGAGAAAATTTTAAACTTATATAATTTATATATTTAGGTAAGGAGACAAGGTGAAGTAGTACAAAAACTAGCACATATGATTGGACATAGTGTAAAATTATATGACATGGTTTTACAATTTTTAAGAACTTTATTTTTACGTACAAAAAATATACATTATTGTACATTAAGAGCAGAACTATTAATGGCCTTACATGATTTAGAGGTGAGTTTATATTACATTAAATTATTTATATAATATTATATAAAATAAATTGTTATTGTTAAATGTTATATATTGTTAAATGTTAAATATTTAGGTACAAGATATAATTTCTGTTGACCCATGTCATAAATTTACTTGGTGCCTTGATGCATGTATTAGAGAAAAAAATGTTGACATTAAAAGGTCCCGGGAATTACAAGGCTTTTTGGATAGTATTAAAGTATGTAATAAAACTAAATTTACACTTAACAATAGTATTTATTTATTTATTCATAGAAAAGTAAAATAATCTATAATTTTTTATAGAGAGGTCAAGAACAAGTACTAGGTGATTTAAGCATGATATTATGTGATCCATATGCAGTAAATTTTCTTGCTAGTAGTGCAATTAAAATTGCACTTCATTTGATAAATGGTGAATCATTGCCTAGAGAAAATGCAGTTCTCGTTCTGTTACTCAGAATGCTTGCATTAGGTTTATCTGCTTGGCAAATGATTGATTCACAAGATTTTAAAGAACCAAAACTGGATAGCCAAGTTGTCACAAAATTTTTACCTGCTCTTATGTCTTTAATGGTAAATCTTTATGAACTGTATATAATAACATAATTTTGACCAAACATGATAATTAGCAATTTATATTTTAGGTAGATGACCAAATAAGACAATTAAATTGTAAACTTCCACCTGATGAGAGAGAAAGTGCAATTGCTATAATAGAACATTCTGGTCCTCCTCCTGATGCTTGTCAAGCATATGCACAACTTTCAGGAGTTGCTGCAGTGTTAGCCATGTATTATGCATTACATGTAGGAGGTGGTGGTGGAATAGGAAGAGGAAGAGGTGATGCTAGAGGTTTAATGAGAGTATTAGCTACTTTACCAAATTGTCAAGCACAACGTGCATTTGAAGATCCCTTTTTACACACTTTAGTGAGTATTGGTTATTTAAATTTTACAGAATCATTAGTAATATAATATGTTACTATAAATGTATATAATTTTACAGGTATCTTTATTAATATTAAATATGGCTGAAGAATTTCCTAATGAATCATTCTGTACAGTTATTTTTGACGAATTTTTCTTAGCCGGATTAGGCAGAGATAATGTCACAAGACATTTACTAAAATTACTTTGGTACATTCATTTAAAATTACCGCCAACTCGTCTTCATACGCTGATGAAAGCACTTCAACCAACTAGTCAGGTAAAATATTTTTTTATTAAAAAAAAAAAAATTTACTATACTATAGCTATGTAACAGCTTCATAACTGTAGTAATTTAATAATAATTGTTCATAATTTAAGCATAATGAAGCAGTACACAATCTTTATGAAGCTTTACGTGATAAAATTGGAAATCGTTCCACAGAGGATCAATTAACAACAACAACACAAATGGATACATTAGGACTTGAATGTCAATCGTCTCCTCTTACTGGTGTACCTACACCAACTTGTTCATTATAAACATAATATAATGTTTTGTAAAATATGATCAAATAATTTTAATTACAATAAAAAAAATTTTATATATTTTTGTCTCACTTATATTAATCAATAAATGACAATATATATTTTTAACATAATATATAATGTTTAAAAAATACAAATATACATAATTTAAGCTACATTAATATTTATAGTATTATCTATATCTGATATATCCATATTAATTAATTCCATTACTAATCTGTCTAAATAATTTGAATCTAACTTATATGACATCAAAATCATTGAAATATACATTGTTGCTTGTTTGGTTGACAATACAAATTTTAACTCTGGATCTATCATACTCAACCTACATAAAATTTATTAAAACATTAGTACTTTCATAATAATTATATATTTACATAATGCAATACTTACATTTTAATAATAATAAGACCCACAAGAGTCCATTCAGCTGTTTTAAAAATAACATTTGCAGCAGATAATGAGAAAGTATTAACTAATGCCTTAATTAAAGTATTTTTTGCATTGTTATATGTATATTGTGGTAATTTATTAACAGCTAAAGCACATAGTAAATCTGGTAATCTATAATTAAAAAAAACAAAGTATGAATATTTATAAAATTATAAATTAAAATTATTTAAAAAACATAAAAAATCATATTACATTCTATTAAGTTTATCTAAAAATATTCTACGTCGAAGTATTTTAGATGCATGTGCATCTGTTAAAGGTAATATTGGACTAAAATCATTATTCTGATGAGCAACTTCTGTAATATTTTTATGATTTTCTATAATCATACTTCCTTTATAAAATGCCCGAACCTAAAAATAATATGTACATTAAAAGTTCGTTATTTTTTAAGTTACATTCTACTAACTTTTAATTCCACTTTTTCTCCTTCTTCTCGAAGCACAGATAAATGAGGTAATGGTTTCAAAGTATTTGTTATTAAACCTAAACGATCATATTTTTCATCTTCTAATTGCAATTTATTTAATTTTTTACATAGATGTAAATATCTGTCACGCTGAGCTATATTTTCTAACAATTGATTTTTAATATGTTTTTCTCCTGATAATAAAGAAATAGTATCTTCAGTAATCCATTTCCTTACATTGTGTTCAATATGAATTGCAAGATTATAAAATTTATTTGACTGATTTTCTTTAACAAAATTTATTTGTTCATATCTTTTATTTTTATTTTGTTTTACTTTCTGTACAGAATCTTTATTATTAGTAATAATATCATTTTTTATAATAGTTGTATTACACTTTATTTCTAATGTTTCCAATAATTCATTTTGTTCTTCATTTTCTATATTTTGATATTTATCTTCATTGAAAGGTACAATATCATTATTTGCATTTGTAATGCTTTGAGTTACTATACAATTTTGTAAGGTATTATCTTTTAAGATACATATTTTTTTAACAGTCTTATCATTTATGTAGTTTTTAATAGTACTATCTTTATTTTCTGAATTAGATGATTTTTTCACATTGGCAGATTTCTCATCATTACTTTTTGAAAATTCTTTTAAAATATCAAATTTTTCAATAATACTGTTTGCTTGTATATTTTCATTATCTGTTTGAGATATTTTTGCTATGTACTCATCATGTGTAATAGCTTCTGAAGATTTACTGAGAAGTATGCTATCTAATCTTTTGCATATTTTGTTATCTTTTATATGTTCATCTGCGTTTTCATCATTTAATACCATTTTTATATCACTCACATAAATTTCATCTCCAAGTATATTTTCTTTTAATTTATTTTTGTTTGATAGTATTCTAAATTCTGGTATTTCCTCTTTATCTCTTAACCACAGAGGACTTGTGAACATTTGTTTTAAAAGATAATTAGAAGCTCCATAACAATGTGAACTACAAAAATTTTTACGTCGTGTTATATCATAAACCTTGTTCTTTTTTGTTGATATATGATACCGTTGATCAATTATTGTTGTTAATGCATTATTACATAGTATGTAGCCACATAATTTAATTATAGCTCTTTCTTCAATTACATCTTCCATATGACTCTTGTTAATGTATTTCAACTATAAAAATTGATAACTATTTAAAGTAAATGTTAAATTATTTAAACATTTAAAATTACTTACATTAGATAAAAGCCACTGAGAATCTATTTTTGGTTCTAAAAGCTGTTCGACAATTGTGAGAGCTTTAGCATCACATTCTTTCTTTTTAATTATTGCTAATTGAATTTGTGTTTTACTTGAATAAAAGTGTAATAAATTAGATAATGTATATTATGTTTAGATTATATTTAAAATATATAAATTTAAAATATAAATTTTATGCAAAATTTGTCTCACCTCATTTTCTTTTTTACTTTTTTTTTTTCAAATGTTCCTGTTTTAATAGTGGATGTTTCCATTTTTAAATAATATTTATTTTCGTAAAAACTACATCTATCGTAATCCACTCCTGTATGATATTAAATATGTTATATAGGAAGGAAAGACATGTCTGAAAAAAGTAATAAAAAAAATAACCAAATTATATTAAAATCAAATTATATTATAAATCAAATAAAGTTTAACACTTTTATGTATTATTATTTACATTAAGATCATTTATATTATTAAGAATTATTACTATTTTTTATTTCATGTACTAATCGATATGATTAAGAATTTATAATTTTATCATTATCTTGAGATATTTTAGCAAATGAACATAATGTATTTATCTTTTTTAGTAAAATGATAAAATTACTAAAATTGGCCAACCTGCCTACAATTAATTGAAGTCTAAATAAATTTAATTATTTTCGTAATTGTGTATGATTCTAAAATAAAAAAATTAAATTCACATACATTTTATGATAAGATACATAGAGAAATTTATTAAAACGATGTAAACGCTAGTAATACAAAATATACGAAAATATAATAAATTTTAATTCGAACGAACGTTAATGCTCTCTGGTGACGATTTAAGGAAACTCACAACCGGCTGTCTTGTAGAGGTAGAAGTCTACCGAAGTAGATGGAAAAAGAGAGACCAGTAGAGTGTGACTGGCTGTGTGGTGTGATCTTGGAGTAGTGTTACGTTTTCAGTATTATCTTGTTGTGCTCGCCATGACGTTGGTTTGAAATTGTATTTCAAAATATTAATCCCGATGTTGGTCGCAGGACTGTGCCAATGTAGTTTTCATGCTTTTAACGAGGAGAGAATCCGGGGAGGCAATTCGTGGATACCGAAGAAAGCTTCAAACACGTTTGAAGCTTTCGAGGTCGTATTCATGGAACTATGAACCTGGACTCGTTGTCTTTTACTTTGTCACAGATCAGTTATTTGGTTGCCACATTAAATAAGAAAAATTTTCGAGACAGCTGCCAAGAAATATCAGTTGTAAGTAGAAAAAAACCTGTTGTACTGTTACATCTTTTATGCCCACCCCTTCCACCTTCTGTTCATCACACGCCGTCCTCGAAACAACGCAATATGCTTCGCGAATATTATTACAAATTTAATCTAATTTTGTTTATTGAAGGAAACGCTTTTATTAAACAAACATAAACGTGTACTTATATACAAATTAATAGATTTGTTTTATAATTATTGGCAATTGAATATTCACGCGGCATAAAATACATCTTGAACTTAGCCTCTTTTCGTAATTTGTATGTGTTCCAACGTATTATTTCGAACGACGAAACTCTGTATATTTTTCAACGCTCATTTTTAAAATGCTAGAAATAAGAATATTTCAGTTATATAATAGTTGTAAAATACTTATTTTGTTCGAAGCTATTTTGAAATGTACTATTGTCTTTTCTGTTTTATTTTTATTACTGAATACATAATAATGTCGTAAAGGTCATGTGTAATATATTTATACTTATATACGTATTTTATGTGTTATAGTTCATTATACTAATATTTATTGTTGTATTATTATAGCTGGTGCAGTGGAAGGGTTTGGAGGCAGACAGACATTTGCTGCGCTCTTTACTCTCGTGCATTGACTTTTCCACAGGAGAACCACCAGAATCAAGTGCGAAAGATTACTTTCAAGTGCAACTTCTAAAACAAGAGTGTACTAATCTTCTTAGCAAACCTTCTTTTATTTCTAATCTGTGCTTTGCTATAGACCATCCATTTCATCAACAAAAGGTTTATTTTATTTTTTATTTAGGTTAAGATTACTAAAGTCGGTATATGTATATATGCATACATATGTAGATTGATATACATTAAGTGTTATTTTATGTTACACATCTTCTTAAAACAAACAATTTTTGTTAATTTTAACTTTATCTTTCAGACTTTAAATCCATCATCAAAGTTTTTTTTACGTTTGAAAAAGGTACTTGGCTTAACTCTGGTACAAGAAGTTGCATTTGCGATTGCATTACTGCATTCTGAGAATATTGAAATTCGTACATTAGCTTTAGAACACGTACAGAAACAGCTGCCTGAACTGATAAAGAATTACATTAATTCTGAAACGAGCAATAGGCATCACGAAGAAGGATTACACGATTCATTACCTGAAGTTCTTCATCTTATATTATCTCAAGCTTTCCATTCAGCCAATCAATTTGGCCTTTCATCTGAAGCAAAAGAAAAATTTCTCAAGAATTTAAGGCGCGATTTTCCCCGTGAGGTGGTACCAGTGGTGCTAGCACCACTCTTGTACCCAGACAACGGGGAAACTCCGCAAGCCAAAATTGAATTAAACATGGCTGTTAATCAAATGGTAATATACATAGAAAAATAGTAATTTACATGTTGTATATGTATATATATTAAAAACCTTTTAATACATGTAACATTTGCATTATAGGATGGTAATTCTCTAGTAGAATTGATTATGGAATTAGGATATGGATTTACTAGCAGTGTTGAAGAATGTCGGTCGGCCTTAGCTGGTTTAGGAGCTCGAGAAATATCTCCAGCATGTGCAGCAAGAGTTTTAGCTCATATGGCACGTAGTTGTAGTAGTCTTGATGATGCTGGTGGATTACAATCATTTTGGGGTAATTCAGGAGCTACACAAGATGCAAATAAGGAAAAATCAAATGATAATGTTGCTCCTACTACATGGAATGTTGAAGTTTTTGTTCAGGCTTTAAAAGAAATTGTAAGCATTGGTAACTAACATTGGAAGTATTTAACAATTTCATATGTTAAGTATTAAATTTTATTGTTAATTGCAGCAATCAACATTATCTTGGAATGAAGTAATAGTTAAACTAGATCATGCAGAATTTGTCATCAAAGATAGGCAAGGATTGAATTTGTTGATCACAGGTTTAAGGTTAGGATTGCAACATCAAGGATATCCTCCAGATATGTTTCCCGTAGAACTTTTTTATCGTCATTGGGATAATATAGAAGGACAGTTTTCTTTAGTACAACAAATTTTAAAATGCCCTGATATATTTTGCTTTGCTGATTATCCATATCATTCTGTAACTGTTGATGTATTGAAAGCAGCGCCAGAAAGTGATAGTAAGGAAGCACAAACTTGGAGATCGTTAAATGTAGTAGAATTACTTTTACATATGGCAGAAAGAGGACTATATGGACCAGTTCAAGAAATCTTTAAATGGCCGATTCAACACTGCCCTGATGTTCTTGTATTAGCATTATTACAAATCAGTGCTCCTATTACTATACTCAGACAAGAATTACTTAGTACATTAATGCCTATTTTTCTTGGAAATCATCCAAACTCGGCTGTTATTTTGCATCATGCATGGCATGGAAATACAGTTAAAATAAAATCTATTATTATGCATGCTATGGCAGAATGGTATATACGTGGAGATCATGATCAGACAAGACTATCTCGTATTCTTGATGTTGCCCAAGATCTCAAAGCATTAACTCATTTATTAACTGCTCAGTCATATCCATTTGTTATTGACCTAGCCTGTTTGGCTTCAAGAAGAGAATATTTAAAATTAGAAAAATGGTTGACTGATAAAATCAGAGAACAAGGAGAAGTTTTTGTCACTGCTTGTGTAAAGTTTTTGCAAAGACGTTGTCCTCAAGTAATGGGACCTGGTATTAAGGAAGATCTTACAGTGCCGAAAGCAAGTCAACTCCCACAAGAAACACTGACAACAATGCTTGCTTGTTTGCAAGTATGTGCTGGGTAGGTTTCATTATTTTCGTTTTAAATATTTTTAATGTAAATAATATTTCTTTATTATTAAATCTTCCTTTTTTTTGAACAGAAGTGTATCTCAAGAATGTTCAGAGGCAATAATGACAATGGTACAAAACTGTAGTCTAATGTTAAGTAAAAATACAATGAGTAGACCTCCCCCACCAGGAGTCTTACGACATCGTGGATTGGAACCTTTTAATCCAGCAACTTTGGGAGGACAGGTACTGAAAGTAACAATTTTTTATATTTATTTGTACACTAAAATATATTTTCTTTAATTTTGTAGCTATTTTCTTCAAAACAAGTGGATCCACTTGGAAATTTAAGTTCGAGTCTTGCATCCATGGGTTTGGGTTCTAGTCTTGGTCCACCAAGTAGTTCTGCGTTTAATTTACCAGGTGCACTTGGACCTTTAGTATCAGCACCTGGTTCTCCTTCTCGTCTCATGGGACCTTCTCCAAGTCCATTTCCAATGTTACCATTATCTTCACAATTACATTCAGGACCAGTTGGTACACAAGGGCCATCTGTTTTACCTGGAAGTACAACAATCGGAGGACTAGGACGACTTGGACCACCAACAGGCATTGAAAAAGCAAGAATACCTGAAACATCAAACTTATTTCCGGATATGGCACAAAATGTTTCCAAAGAAATTGAAGATGAAGCAAATAGTTACTTTCAGCGTATATATAATCATCCTCCACATCCTACATTATCCATCGATGAAGTTCTTGATATGTTAAAAAAATTTCAAGATTCTGGTAGTAAAAGAGAGAGAGAAGTATTCAACTGTATGTTGCGAAACTTATTTGAGGAATACCGATTTTTTCCTCAATACCCAGACAAAGAGTTGCAAATTACGGCACAATTATTCGGAGGAATTATTGAAAGAGGATTAATTAATAGTTACATGACGCTTGGATTAGCTCTGAGATTTGTATTGGATGCACTAAGGAAACCAGAAGGCAGCAAGATGTATTACTTTGGCATAACAGCTCTGGATCGATTCAAGAGTCGTTTAAAAGACTACCAAACATATTGTGAGCACGTCAGGGCAATTCAACATTTTAGTGAGTTCCCACCACATTTAATTGAGTATATAGAATATGGATTACAGGGGCAGGAGCCTCCCACAAGACCTCAAGGTCCAGTCCTCCCAAAAACTTTAGCAGCTATGCTGGCACCAGTTACTACACCATATAAAACTATTACAACAACAACAATAACGACAAGTACTACTCAAGCGAAATCATCCACAACTCCAACAACTTCTCTCTCAGCCAGAGTAAGTAAAATATGAATTTCAGAACTATGTAATGTACTGTTATTGTTATTTATA